CCCCGAGCGTGCACACTCCAGTAATCCTGCACAATGGGAGTTTCAAAAAGACACATGAATACTGACCTGCGGAAAGCTCCTCCTCAGAGCCTTCAGAACACACCTACAGGGTTCTCAGCATGCTGATTAAGACTTTAAAAGGAGAAAAAAAGACCCAAACCAACCCAGGTTCAGCCCGTTTTGTCACGCAGCCACCGCTGCCCCTTCCAGAGGAAAAATCATGACACTGTTTCCTTCAGCAATGGGCTCATTTGATTTCTTCACAGGGGAAGGAAGAGTGGAGGGATTTGCAGTAGCTGGTAAATGTCATGCCTTGCAACGGGAGGAATATAAACCTTTATTCTTCAGGATTTTTATGTGGTGAAGACTAGAGGTGGACTGCAAAACTTGCTGCTGCTGCTGGATTACACAGAAAGAGCTCTTAGCTGCCCAGCTGGGTAGGCAGCACCGGGTGGGAGGTCCAGTTGGACAGGACGTCCTGGAGATACCATCCAGTGAAGGAGCTCACAGGAGGCTGGGCTGAAATGCTCTCTCCTTCACTGCCCTTTGCTGAATTCTCCCTTCACCAGAGCCAGGGCCCGTGTCCCTAACCAGAAAGCAGCAAAGCATCAGAAAGAAGAAACCTTTCCCCTGGGCAAAAAGAGTGGCTTTGTCAGGGCAGCTGGCACAGCCCAAGGGCTCTCAGTGCAACAAAGTATGCCACCTGTCCTGAGTGCCAGAAGCAGGCCCTCCCCAGCCCAGAGAACACGGGAGAACAGCTGGCTCTTCAAAAGCTTTGTGAAGGCCCATTCCTTTTCTTACCTGCACAAGAAGTTGTCTGATTTCTCTACCTCTTGTTTCAAGTGAGCAGCTTGAGTGAGCGCATGTGAAGCGATGGGTGGGAGGAAGAGAGGGGGGACAGGGTTTGAAGAGGAACCTTGCATGTTTACCTTTAGTCAGACAACATATTGTTGGAGTATTTCTATTGTGGTTTGTTTTTAAAAGAGCAGCACAGACCCCTCTCCACCTGATCCGGGTGTTTCTCCCCTGTAACTCAGCCGGGGATGCCCTGGCTTCCTCTGGCAGGAAAGCACCCAGCAACAATTATGCATCCAGGCTCACAGCTGAACAATTTGCAACACCAACTGCTGGGGAGGCTGTCACCAGTGTGTCATTTCCTAATGCTCGCAGGCTGAGCTACATCAATTCCTAACCTTCCCCAGTGGTGGTAATTGATGACGAGTCCCCTGCAGAGATTAAGTTGATCATCTGCCAAACCTCAACACCTTGGAGTCGTTTCAAGAAAGTAAAAATGATGTTTCAAACCACAACTGGAAACCCCCCTCAACAACCAACAGCAAAACAGCTACTGACACAGAATAGCTGTGAGACAGGACAAGACAGAGCTGAAGAGCAGGGACAGGAACAACCAGAACCAGCAGGTAATGAGTTGACCAAAGGCCTGGCAGAGAAAAGCTGAACCAACTCAGTTCCCCTCCCAGGCTCTCTTGTCCTCTCTTTCCTCTCCTGACTAACCAAGCTGGCCCTACTGGAAGTTACTGCATTTTCTAGACTCAGCCAGTATCTCTTGGTTTCCAGTTGTAACTCAGAACATCTTTGACATGTCACCTGGAAACAATTTTTCAGGAGTTTTAATTATCTGGAAAATGTAAGTATCTTCACAGTGAATTCCAAGTAATTTAGGCTGAAGACAAAGATGACACACGTTAACATTTTTTAAGAGCTCTACCTAATTAACAACATGAAACAGTCATCAGCCAGTACTGGGCTCACAGAGCAAGTATTACAAATATGAAGAGAATGAAGGATACAAATTCCACCTTTAGACAAAACCCAAACCAAGGATCTGCTTTTAAACAATTCTGGCAGCAAAAAATCTGTACTATGATTTATGAGAGAGTGAGACCAAATCCTGAGAACTGGGACAGACATCTTCCCTTGTCAGACAGCCAACGCTGAAGTCTCTGCTGCCCGTTGAT